CGATGCCAATCCCAGCCGCAAGCGATGATGAAATTCTCGTTTGCAACTTTCATCAGATAACTGAGACCAGGCCACTTTAGGTTGGAATGGGGTCCTGGGTGTACACCCACCACCGGAGTGGAAGAATGGCAGGCGCATCTTACAGATGACTAGTCGATGGTCAGAGGGCAGATCAGCTCCACGGTAGGTCCTGGTGTCAAGGACATGGGCTCGCATTCGCTGGTCCGTCACTATGTAGTCCAGCAGATGTTCTTGCTTGGACCCGGCATGCATCCATGATGTTGTGTGGATGCGCCGATGCCGGAACAGCGTGTTGGTAATTACAAGCCCATGGGCTGCACAAAAATCTAGCAGCCTCCTACCGTTGTTATTGAGCTGATCTGGCCCATGCCCTCCAATCACTCCAGGCCAGGTGCCAGTATCATGACCAACTCGGGCATTGAAGTCACCCAACATGATGACTCTATCCCGAGGGGCCACTTTAGCCAGCACCTGTGACAGGAGGTCATAGAAGGCATCTGACTCATCGGCTTTGCCTGCATCCCTCCACGGATGTTCATCTTCGGTGGGGGCATAAGTAACCACGACCACCATTCCTCGCCTCCGGTTGATGGGAAGGCGAGCCCAAAGTAGCCTGGGGCTTACAGCTTCCCACACCTCACCGCCACGCTCCCACGCCCCCTTCATTCTTTTGTTCAAAAGAAGACCCACACCCTGTTGTTTGGCAGTCTGCTGCCCCGAGTAGAGGACTGTCCACCCCTCATGGTGGCAGGAGCCAGAGCCGGTCCACCGGACCTCCTGAATGCCGCATAGATCCAGGCGGTACCGGTCCAGCTCCCGACAGAGGAGTGGCAGCCTCTCCTCTGCAGTGAGCGTTCGAACATTCCACGTGGCCAACCGTAGTGGCTTTTCGTTGTTTCTGGAGTAGCCCCGAGGGTAGGTATTCAATCTCCTGGCTCCGCCAATTGGGGTTTGGCCAGGAGACGTCATAGACGCCTGGCCCCCCGGGGCCTCCGGCACAAGCTTAGTTGTTACATATTTAAGTTTAATTCGTAGTTTCGTGGTAATTAATTGAAGGTGGAGGGGTTACCAGCCCCTCGCACCCGTCCAGAGCCCCCGTTTAGCCCCTGTGGTGGATACATATGCCATGAGGGGAGGAGCCAATCAAAATTGGATCTCCCCCCACAGCGCTGTCCACGACAGAGTTGCCCGTCCGGCACCGCGAGGAGGTAGGGGGTTGTTTTGCCGGACGTACACACACACACGTACACACACACACACGTACACACACACACACGTACACACACACACACGTACACACACACGTACACACACACACACGTACACACACACACACAGTACACACACGTACACACACACGTACACACACACACGTACACACACACACACACGTACACACACACGTACACACACACACACACGTACACACACACACATACACACACGTACACACACACACGTGCACACACACACGTACACACACACACACACGTACACACACACACGTACACACACACACGTACACACACACACACGTACACACACACACACACGTACACACACACACACACGTACACACACACACGTACACACACACACGTACACACACGTACACACACACGTACACACACACACGTACACACACACACACACGTACACACACACGTACACACACACACACAGTACACACACGTACACACACACGTACACACACACACGTACACACACACGTACACACACACGTACACACACACACGTACACACACACATACACACACGTACACACACACGTGCACACACACACACGTACACACACACACACACGTACACACACACGTACACACACACACGTACACACACACACGTACACACACACACGTACACACACACACGTACACACACACACGTACACACACACACACGTACACACACACACGTACACACACACGTACACACACACACACGTACACACACACGTACACACACGTACACACACACACGTACACACACACGTACACGTACACACACACACGTACACACACACACGTACACACACACACACGTACACACACACACGTACACACACACACACGTACACACACACACGTACACACACACGTACACACACACACACGTACACACACACACACACGTACACACACACACACACACGTACACACACACACATACACACACGTACACACACACACGTGCACACACACACACGTACACACACACACACACGTACACACACACGTACACACACACACGTACACACACACACGTACACACACACACGTACACACACACACACGTACACACACACACACGTACACACACACACACGTACACACACACACGTACACACACACACACGTACACACACACGTACACAGTGACACACACACACGTACACACACACACACACACGTACACACACACACGTACACACACACACACGTACATACACACACGTACACACACACACGTACACACACACACGTACACACACACACACGTACACACACACGTACACACACACGTACACACACACACGTACACACACACACACGTACACACACACACACACGTACACACACACACACACGTACACACACACACACACACGTACACACACACAGTGACACACACACACGTACACACACACGTACACACACACGTACACACACACACGTACACACACACACGTACACACACACACACGTACACACACACACACATGTACACACACACACACACATGTACACACACACACACACGTACACACACACACACAGTGACACACACACGTACACACACACACATGTACACACACACACGTACACACACACACGTACACACACACACGTACACACACACACATGTACACACACACACGTACACACACACACGTACACACACACACACACGTACACACACACACACACGTACACACACACACACACGTACACACACACACGTACACACACACACACACGTACACACACACACGTACACACACACACACACGTACACACACACACACGTACACACACACACACGTACACACACACACACACGTACACACACACACACACACGTACACACACACACATACACACACGTACACACACACACGTGCACACACACACACGTACACACACACACACACGTACACACACACGTACACACACACACGTACACACACACACGTACACACACACACGTACACACACACACACGTACACACACACACACGTACACACACACACACGTACACACACACACGTACACACACACACACGTACACACACACGTACACAGTGACACACACACACGTACACACACACACACACACGTACACACACACACGTACACACACACACACGTACATACACACACGTACACACACACACGTACACACACACACGTACACACACACACACGTACACACACACGTACACACACACGTACACACACACACGTACACACACACACACGTACACACACACACACACGTACACACACACACACACGCAGACACACACACACACATATACACACACACAGTGACACACACACACGTACACACACACGTACACACACACGTACACACACACACGTACACACACACACGTACACACACACACACGCACACACACACACACATGTACACACACACACACACATGTACACACACACACACACGTACACACACACACACAGTGACACACACACGTACACACACACACATGTACACACACACACGTACACACACACACGTACACACACACACGTACACACACACACATGTACACACACACACGTACACACACACACGTACACACACACACACACGTACACACACACACACACGTACACACACACACACACGTACACACACACACGTACACACACACACACACGTACACACACACACGTACACACACACACACACGTACACACACACACACGTACACACACACACACGTACACACACACACACACGTACACACACACACACACGTACACACACACACGTACACACACACACACACGTACACACACACACGTACACACACACACACGTACACACACACACGTACACACACACACACGTACACACACACACACGTACACACACACACGTACACACACACACGTACACACACACACACGTACACACACACACACATGTACACACACACACACATGTACACACACACACACGTACACACACACACACGTACACACACACACGTACACACACACACACACACGTACACACACGTACACACACACGTACACACACACACGTACACACACACACGTACACACACACACACGTACACACACACACACACGTACACACACACACGTACACACACACACACACGTACACACACGTACACACACACACGTACACACACGTACACACACACACGTACACACACACACGTACACACACACACGTACACACACACACACGTACACACACACACACGTACACACACACACGTACACACACGTACACACACACACGTACACACACATGTACACACACACACACGTACACACACACACGTACACACACGTACACACACACACACGTACACACACACACACACACGTACACACACACACACGTACACACACACACACACACGTACACACACACACACGTACACACACACACACACACGTACACACACACGTACACACACACACACACGTACACACACACACGTACACACACACACACACGTACACACACACACATGTACACACACACACACACACGTACACACACACACACGTACACACACACACACGTACACACACACACGTACACACACACACATGTACACACACACACACACGTACACACACACACACGTACACACACACACACGTACACACACACACGTACACGTGCCCTTACCGCTCGTCTCTAACTCCGTGGCCCAACGTGACGCCAGGCGGAGCCGGCCCTCCCCCCGGCCCTGGCCCTGGCCCTGGGTGAGGGCCCCCCGGCCCCGGCCCCGGCCCTGGGTGAGGGCCCCGTGGACCGTCGGCAGTGGACCCAGCAGCACCTGACGGCCGCCGACATCCACCCGGCGGCGCTGGCGCTGACCCCGCACCACGGAGCCGACTCCGATAACGACTGCGTGGACGTCAACGTGAAGGGGCCCGGTGAGTGGGGGAGGGGGGAGGGGGAGGAGGGGGAGGGGGGGGGAGATGACTTGGGGGGTGGAGGGGACGGGAGGGGAGGGGTGAGGGGAGGAGAGGGGAGGACACGGGGGGGGGGGGGGAGTGTGTGGGTGGGAGGGAAAGGGGGTGGGGAGTGTGAGAGTGGGGGGGGGGGGGAACGGGGGGGGGAGATGACTTGGGGGGGTGGAGGGGAGGGGAGGGGTGAGGGGAGGACACGGGGGGTGGGGAGGGTGAGAGTGGGGGGGGGGGGGAGGACACGGGGGGGGAGTGTGTGGGTGGGAGGGAAAGGGGGTGGGGAGGGTGAGAGTGGGGGGGGGAGGACACGGGGGGGGGGGAGTGTGTGGGTGGGAGGGAAAGGGGGGTGGGGAGGGTGAGAGTGGGGGGGGAACGGGGGGGGGAGATGACTTGGGGGGGTGGAGGGGAGGGGAGGGGTGAGGGGAGGACACGGGGGGTGGGGAGGGTGAGAGTGGGGGGGGGGGGGAGGACACGGGGGGGGAGTGTGTGGGTGGGAGGGAAAGGGGGTGGGGAGGGTGAGAGTGGGGGGGGGAGGACACGGGGGGGGGGGGAGTGTGTGGGTGGGAGGGAAAGGGGGTGGGGAGGGTGAGAGTGGGGGGGGGAGGACACGGGGGGGGGGGAGTGTGTGGGTGGGAGGGAAAGGGGGTGGGGAGGGTGAGAGTGGGGGGGGGGAGGACACGGGGGGGGGGAGATGACTTGGGGGGGTGGAGGGGAGGGGTGAGGGGAGGACACGGGGGGTGAGAGGGAGAGGGAGGGGGGAGGGAGGACAAGGGGGGGGGAGTGTGGGGGTGGGAGGGAAAGGGGGGTGGGGAGGGTGAGAGTGGGGGGGGGGGTGAGGGGGGGACACGGGGGTGGGGGGAGGGGGAGGAGATGACTTGGGGGGGCGAGAGGGAGGGGGAGGGGGGAGGGGAGGACACGGGGGGGTGAGAGTGGGGGGGGGGAGATGACTTGGGGGGGTGGAGGGGAGGGGTGAGGGGAGGACACGGGGGGGAGTGTGGGGGTGGGAGGGAGAGGGGGTGGGGAGGGTGAGAGTTGGGGGGGGGGTGAGATGACTTGGGGGGGGGCGAGAGGGGGGTTTGCGGCGTGGGGATGGGGTGAGGGGGTGGGTGGGGGGGGTGGACACGGGGGGGAGGGAGGAGCTGAGAGTGTGGGGGAGGGGCACGTGGAGGCGGTGTCAAGATCGGCATCCGTTGATTCAGAGGAGCAGTCACGTGAAGGACGCTGCTGCTACTGGGCAGTGCCAGGCTAGGTGCACTCTGAGGCTGCTGGGCAGTTGGAGGCAGTCGCCCCTCCAGCAGCAACGGAGGGCAGAGGACCCGACGCTCACAACAACGAGCGGAGCGCCGGGCGGATAAAACGCAGCGAGTTGGCACAGTAGGGTGGCACAGGTGGTGCATCTGACGGTCATCTCAGTCAGTCGACCCATGGCCACCACCTGGGTCTGTCCCGTGACCTCGTGCACCTAGCCTGGCACAGTGGAGGGCACAGGTGATGCATCTGCCAGCCATATTCATCAGTCAACCCATGGCCACCACCTGGGTCTGTCCCGTGACCTCGTGCACCTAGCCTGGCACAGTGGAGGGCACAGGTGATGCATCTGCCAGCCATATTCATCAGTCAACCCATGGCCACCACCTGGGTCTGTCCCGTGACCTCGTGCACCTAGCCTGGCACAGTGGAGGGCACAGGTGATGCATCTGCCAGCCATATTCATCATTCAACCCATGGCCACCATCTGCGTCCATCCCGTGACCTCGTGCACCTAGCCTGGCACAGTGGAGGGCACAGGTGATGCATCTGCCAGCCATATTCATCAGTCAACCCATGGCCACCATCTGGGTCTATCCCGTGACCTCGTGCACCTAGCCTGGCACAGTGGAGGGCACAGGTGATGCATCTGCCAGCCATATTCATCAGTCAACCCATGGCCACCACCTAGGTCTGTCCCGTGACCTCGTGCACCTAGCCTGGCACAGTAAATCCCGTTGACCTGATGATTTAAGAGTGCTATTGGTTTGTGTTTAGTTTCTCGTTCTTAGCCCACTACCCCGCTGCACACTCTGATTAGTGGGGTTGATTACGTATGATGTGAAAGACGTTCCACATGCATAGTACACTGTGCACTACTATACACTACACTATACACTACACTATACACTACACTACTATACACTACACTATACACTACACTACTATACACTACACTACTATACACTACACTATACACTACTATACACTACTATACACTACACTATACACTACTTACTATACACTACACACTACACTATACACTACACTACTATACACTACACTATACACTTTATACTACACTATACACTACTATACACTACACACTACTATACACTACACTATACACTATACACTACTCTACACTACACTATACACTACACTATACACTACACTATACACTGCACTATACACGACTATACAATACGCTATACACTACTATACACTACATTATACACTACTATACACGACTATACACTGATATACACTACACTATACACTACAATACACTACAATATACACTATAATACACTACTATACACTACACTATAAACTACACTATACACGACTATTCACTATACACTACACTATACACTATACTATACACTACTATACACTAATATGCACTACGACACACTACTATACACTACACTATAAACTACACTATACACGACTATTCACTACACTATACACTACTATACACTACATTATACACGACTAAATAATACACTATACACTACATTATACACTACTATACATTACACTATACACTACACACTACACTACATTACACACGACACTATACACTACTATACACTACACTATACACGACTATACAATAAACTATACACTACACTACACTATACAATACACTATACACTACACTATACACTACACTATACACTACTATACACTACACTATACACTACACTATACACTACACTATACACTACTATACACTACACTATACACTATACACTACACTACACACTACTATACACTACACTATACGCTACACTACAGACTACTATACACTACACACTACTATACACTACACTATACACTACACTACACACTACTATACACTACACTATACACTACACTACACACTACACACTACTATACACTACACTATACACTACACTACACACTACTATACACTACACTATACACTACACTACACACTACTATAGACTACACTATATACTACTATACACTACACTATAAACTACACTATACACGACTATTCACTACACTATACACTACTATACACTACATTATACACGACTATATAATACACTATACACTACATTATACACTACTATACATTACACTATACACTACACACTACACTACATTATACACGACACTATACACTACACTATACACTACACTATACACTACACTACTATACACTACACTATACACGACTATACAATAAACTATACACTACACACTACACTATACAATACACTATACACTACACTACACACTACTATACACTACACTATACACTACACTACACACTACTATACTATACACTACACTATACACTACACTATACACTACTATACACTACACTATACACTACACACTACACTACACACTACACTATACACTACACTATACACTACACTATACACTACACTACACACTACACTATACACTACACTATACACTACACTACACACTACTATACACTACACTATACACTACACTACACACTACACTATACACTACACTATACACTACACTATACACTACACTATACACTACACTATACACTACACACTACTATACACTACACTATACACTACACACTACACTACACACTACTATACACTACACTATACACTACTATACACTACACTATACACTACACACTACTATACACTACACTATACACTACGAACCTGTTGACCTACGACCCCGTGGACCTGAGTGTACCCGGGTTCAAATTCCCGCTCGCGTGCCACCACCGGCGACGATTTATCTGGTGCCGTCCTGAGCCTCCCCTAGGTCGACTCAGCCTCAAACGAGTACACCTGGTGTGTAGCGCTGTGTAGCGTAGTGAACATCGCCAGCACTGGGGGAGACAAAGGCGGCCGGGCGTGGTTGCTGGCCACCCCACCCCCTCTGTGTGTGCCACAGTGCCGGTAGCCTTCACAGGTGGCGCTGCTGCTGCTGCTACTCGCCGCTAACAGCACTTGCCCCGGCGGTCTGTGGGAGGCTACACGGGGGACCTTTTGCTGTGGGCGCGCGCGCGGTTGCAGACGCTCTGACGCCGCTGATGCTGGCCTCGATGAGGAGCGGCAGCAGCTTCGAGAGCGGCGTGGAGCTGGAGGTGGACGTCGAGGAGGAGGAGGAGGAGCCTCGGACAGACGAGTCGGAGGACTCCTCCTCGGCCAACATCATCACCGACCTCATCCTGCAGGTGTGAAGCCCCCGGCCACGCCGCGTGGGGCACGGGGGGGGGGGGGGCGGGCGGGCAGGGTGAGTGGATGGGTGGATGGGTGGATGGGTGGACGGGCGGACGGATGGGCGGGTGGACGGCTGGACGGGTGGATGGGTGGACAGGTGGATGGGTGGACGGGTGGATGGATGGGTGGACGGGTGGATGTGTGGACGGGTGGATGGATGGGTGGACGGGTGGATGTGTGGACGGGTGGATGGATGGGTGGACGGGTGGATGGATGGGTGGACGGGTGGATGGGTGGACGGGTGGACGGGTGGATGGGTGGACGGGTGGACGGGTGGATGGATGGGTGGACAGGTGGATGGGTGGATGGGTGGACGGGTGGATGGGTGGACGGGTGGATGGGTGGACGGGTGGATGGATGGGTGGACAGGTGGATGGGTGGATGGGTGGACGGGTGGATGGATGGGTGGACAGGTGGATGGGTGGATGGGTGGACGGGTGGATGGGTGGACGGGTGGATGGATGGGTGGACGGGTGGATGGGTGGACGGGTGGATGGATGGGTGGACAGGTGGATGGGTGGACGGGTGGATGGATGGGTGGACGGGTGGACGGGTGGATGTGTGGACGGGTGGATGGATGGGTGGACGGGTGGATGGATGGGTGGACGGGTGGATGGGTGGACGGGTGGACGGGTGGATGGGTGGACGGGTGGATGGATGGGTGGATGGGTGGATGAGTGGACGGGTGGATGGACGGGTGGGTGGACGGATGGACGGGTGGACGGGTGGACAGACGGACCGACGGGTAGATGGGCAGGGCAGCCTTCGACAGGCTGGCGGGTGCCAAGTGCTGCCTGGGAGGTTAGCACGCCGTGGGTGCGGCTGCCCGGGTAGTGGGCGGGGCTTCCAGGGAAGTGGGCGGGGCTATCTGATTAATGGGAGGGGTTGCTTGCGTAGTGGGAGGGGGTACCCGAGTGGTGGTCGGAGCTACCCGAGTAGTGGGAGGGGCTACCTGAGTAGTGGGAGGGGCTACCTGAGAAGTGAGTAGTGGGAGTGGCTAGTGTCGAAGTGGGCGTGGCTGTGTGAAAGTGGGAGGGGCTGGTTAGCGCTGCGCTACGAACCCGGCGACCCGAGTTCGATTCCCGCTCACGGCCAACACCACCGGTGACGATTCTCTGAACCGGTCCTGGGCCTCCCCTAGGTCGACTCAGCCTCAAATGAGTACCTGATGTAGCAGCTTAGCGTAGTGAACATCGCTAGCACTGGGGAGACAAAGGCGGCCGGGCGTGGTGCTGGCCACCCACCCCCTCGTGTGCCACAGTGCCGGTAGCCTTCATAGGCGCTGCTGCTGCTACTCGATACTCACAGCACTTGTCCCTACAGTCTGTCAGAGGCTACACGGGGAAGCTTTGTCTGTGTCTGTGTGCGAGGTGCTCGCTAACAGCACTTGCCCCTACAGCCTGTAGAGGCTGATGACGACGACGATGACGATGACGACGACGACGATGATGATGACGACGACGATGACGACGATGACGTCGATGACGTCGACGATGACGTCGATGACGTCGATGACGTCGATGACGTCGACGACGATGACGACGTCGACGATGACGATGACGATGACGACGATGACGATGACGACGATGACGATGATGACGACGACGATGACGACGTCGACGATGACGACGACGATGACGATGTCAACGATGTCAACGACGTCGACGACGATGACGTCGACGACGACGACGATGACGACGACGACGACGACGTCGACGACGATGACGATGACGTCGATGACGTCGACGATGACGTCGATGACGTCGATGACGATGACGTCGATGACGTCGATGACGATGACGACGATGACGATGACGACGATGACGATGATGACGTCGACTTTGAAGACGACGACGATGATGATGACGATGACGTCGAAGACGATGACGTCAGAGACGACGAGGTCCGCCCTCGTTAACGTCATCGACGTCACTCCCCCCCTCCCTCCGTCTCTCCTCTCCAGGGACCTCTTCCAGCTTTCCTCTCGACGTCACTTCGTCAACCTCTTCATGGCAGGAGGTCGCTCCTCCTCCTGCTCCTGCTCCTTCTCCCTTCTGCTGCTGCTCTCACTGCCTACACGACACCACCGCGTGTCTGTCCGTACTGCCTGTCTGAGTGTCTCCTGTCTCAGTGTGTCCTGTCTCAGTGTCTCAGTGTCTCAGTGTCTCCTGTCTCAGTGTCTCCTGTCTCAGTGTCTCAGTGTCTCGGTGTCTCCTGTCTCAGTGTCTCCTGTCTCAGTGTCTCCTGTCTCAGTGTCTCCTGTCTCAGTGTCTCAGTGTCTCGGTGTCTCCTGTCTCCTGTCTCAGTGTCTCCTGTCTCAGTGTCTCCTGTCTCAGTGTCTCAGTGTCTCCTGTCTCAGTGTCTCCTGTCTCCTGTCTCCTGTCTCAGTGTCTCCTGTCTCCTGTCTCATTGTCTCCCTGTCTCAGTGTCTCAGTGTCTCAGTGTCTCCTGTCTCCCTGTCTCAGTGTCTCCTGTCTCAGTGTCTCCTGTCTCAGTGTCTCAGTGTCTCCTGTCTCAGTGTCTCCTGTCTCAGTGTCTCAGTGTCTCCTGTCTCAGTGTCTCAGTGTCTCCCTGTCTCAGTGTCTCCCTGTCTCAGTGTCTCCTGTCTCCCTGTCTATGTCTCCTGTCTCCTGTCTCCCTGTCTCAGTGTCTCAGTGTCTCCTGTCTCCTGTCTCCTGTCTCCCTGTCTCCCTGTCTCAGTGTCTCCTGTCTCCCTGTCTCAGTGTCTCCTGTCTCAGTGTCTCCTGTCTCAGTGTCTCCCTGTCTCAGTGTCTCAGTGTCTCCTGTCTCAGTGTCTCCTGTCTCAGTGTCTCAGTGTCTCCTGTCTCAGTGTCTCCCTGTCTCAGTGTCTCCTGTCTCGGTGTCTCCTGTCTCAGTGTCTCCCTGTCTCAGTGTCTCAGTGTCTCCTGTCTCAATGTCTTCATGTCTCAGTGTCTCAGTGTCTCCCTGTCTCAGTGTCTCAGTGTCTCAGTGTCTCCCTGTCTCCCTGTCTCAGTGTCTCCTGTCTCGGTGTCTCCTGTCTCAGTGTCTCCCTGTCTCAGTGTCTCAGTGTCTCCTGTCTCAATGTCTCCCTGTCTCCCTGTCTCAGTGTCTCCTGTCTCAGTGTCTCCTGTCTCAGTGTCTCAGTGTCTCCTGTCTCAATGCCTCCCTGTCTCAGTGTCTCAGTGCCTCCCTGTCTCAGTGTCTCCCTGTCTCCCTGTCTCAGTGTCTCAGTGTCTCAGTGTCTCCCTGTCTCCCTGTCTCAGTGTCTCCTGTCTCAGTGTCTCCTGTCTCAGTGTCTCAGTGTCTCCTGTCTCAATGTCTCCCTGTCTCAGTGTCTCCTGTCTCAGTGTCTCCTGTCTCAGTGTCTCCGTGTCTCCTGTCTCAATGTCTCCCTGTCTCCCTGTCTCAGTATCTCCCTGTCTCAGTGTCTCCTGTCTCAGTGTCTCCTGTCTCAGTGTCTCAGTGTCTCAGTGTCTCCTGTCTCAGTGTCTCCTGTCTCAGTGTCTCAGTGTCTCCTGTCTCAGTGTCTCCTGTCTCAGTTTCTCCTGTCTCAGTGTCTCCTGTCTCAGTGTCTCCTGTCTCAGTGTCTCAGTGTCTCAGTGTCTCCTGTCTCAGTGTCTCAGTGTCTCAGTGTCTCCTGTCTCAGTGTCTCCCTGTCTCAGTGTCTCAGTGTCTCCTGTCTCAGTGTCTCAGTGTCTCCCTGTCTCCCTGTCTCCCTGTCTCAGTGTCTCAGTGTCTCCCTGGCTCCCTGTCTCAGTGTCTCCTGTCTCAGTGTCTCCTGTCTCAGTGTCTCAGTGTCTCCTGTCTCAATGTCTCCCTGTCTCAGTGTCTCAGTGTCTCAGTGTCTCCTGTCTCCCTGTCTCAGTGTCTCCTGTCTCAATGTCTCAGTGTGTCTTGTCTCAATGTCTCCCTGTCTCAGTGTCTCCTATCTCGGTGTCTCCTGTCTCAGTGTTTCCCTGTCTCAGTGTCTCAGTGTCTCCTGTCTCAATGTCTCCCTGTCTCCCTGTCTCAGTGTCTCCTGTCTCAGTGTCTCCTGTCTCACTGTCTCAGTGTCTCCCTGTCTCCTGTCTCAGTGTCTCCCTGTCTCAATGTCTCAGTGTCTCCTGTCTCAGTGTCTCAGTGTCTCAGTGTCTCCTGTCTCAGTGTCTCAGTGTCTCCCTGTCTCAGTGTCTCCTGTCTCCCTGTCTCAGTGTCTCCTGTCTCAGTGTCTCAGTGTCTCAGTGTCTCCCTGTCTCAGTGTCTCAGTGTCTCCCTGTCTCAGTGTCTCAGTGTCTCCCTGTCTCAGTGTCTCCTGTCTCAGTGTCTCCTGTCTGAGTGTCTCAGTGTCTCCCTGTCTCAGTGTCTCCTGTCCCAGTGTCTCCGTCTCAGTGTCTCCCTGTCTCAGTGTCTCCTGTCTCAATGTCTCAGTGTCTCCCTGTCTCAGTCTCTCCTGTCTCAGTGTCTCCTGTCTCAGTGTCTCCTGTCTCAGTGTCTCCTGTCTCAGTGTCTCAGTGTCTCCTGTCTCAATGTCTCCCTGTCTCAGTGTCTCCTGTCTCCTGTCTCCCTGTCTCACTGTCTCAGTGTCTCCCTGTCTCAGTGTCTCCTGTCTCACTGTCTCAGTGTCTCCCTGTCTCAGTGTCTCCTGTCTCACTGTCTCAGTGTCTCCCTGTCTCAGTGTCTCCTGTCTCACTGTCTCAGTGTCTCCCTGTCTCAGTGTCTCCCTGTCTCAGTGTCTCAGTGTCTCCTGTCTCAGTGTCTCAGTGTCTCCCTGTCTCAGTGTCTCCTGTCTCCCTGTCTCAGTGTCTCCTGTCCCAGTGTCTCAGTGTCGCAGTGTCTCAGTGTCTCCCTGTCTCAGTGTCTCAGTGTCTCCTGTCTCAGTGTCTCCCTGTCTCAGTGTCTCCCCTTGTCTGTCTCAGTGTCTCAGTGTCTCCTGTCTCAGTGTCTCAGTGTCTCCCTGTCTCAGTGTCCCCTGTCTCAGTGTCTCCCTGTCTCAGTGTCCCCTGTCTCAGTGTCTCAGTGTCTCAGTGTCTCAGTGTCTCCTGTCTCAGTGTCTCCTGTCTCAGTGCCTCAGTGTCTCCTGTCTCAGTGTCTCAGTGTCTCCTGTCTCAGTGTCTCAGTGTCTCCCTGTCTCCTGTCTCCCTGTCTCCTGTCTCAGTGTCTCCTGTCTCAGTGTCTCCTGTCTCCCTGTCTCCTGTCTCAGTGTCTCCTGTCTCAGTGTCTCCCTGTCTCAGTGTCTCCTGTCTCTTGTCTCAGTGTCTCCCCTTGTCTGTCTCATGGCCATCAACATCGGTTCCTGCGCCTCCCCTTGGTCGACTCGGTGTGATGTTCAAACATTGCCACGTGGTGATGGCCACTCACCCACCCACTCACTCACCCACTCACTCACCCACCCACCCACTCACTCACCCATTCACTCACCCACCCACTCACCCACTCACTCACCCACTCACTCACTCACCCACTCACTCACCCACTCACTCACCCACCCACCCACCCACTCAGCCACCCACTCACCCACCCACTCGCCCACCCACTCACTCACCCACCCACCCACCCACTCACTCACTCACCCACCCACCCACTCACTCACTCACCCACTCACCCACCCACTCACCCACTCACTCACTCAGCCACTCACTCACTCACCCACTCACCCACCCACTCACCCACTCACTCACTCACTCACCCACCCACTCAGCCACCCACCACCCACTCACCCACCCACTCACTCACTCACTCACCCACTCACTCACTCACCCACTCACTCACTCACTTACCCACTCACTCACCCACCCACTCACTCACTCACTCACCCACTCACTCACCCACCCACTTACTCACCCACTCACTCACCCACCCACTCACTCACCCACTCACTCACCCACTCACCCACCCACTCACCCACTCACTCACCCACCCACTCACTCACCCACTCACCCACCCACCCACTCACTCACCCACCCACTCACCCACCCACCCACTCAGCCACCCACTCACTCACTCAGCCACCCACTCACCCACCCACTCACTCACCCACTCACTCACCACTCACTCACCCACTCACTCACTCACCCACTCATTCACTCAGCCACCCACTCACTCAGCCACTCACTCACTCACTCACCCACCCACTCACTCAGCCACCCACTCACTCAGCCACTCACTCACTCACCCACTCACTCACTCACCCACCCACTCACTCACCCACCAACTCACTCACCCACTCACTCACCCACTCATCCACTTACCCACCCACCCATTTTAGTTCCATTAGTCCCATCTATTTGGTATAGCCCTGTGAGCCTTTCGGCTCTTGAATCCGGTGCAACTGCAACAAACAAAAACATGAACAAGAAAACATCTTAAAGTGATTATGTGACTGTGCAAACAGAAAATCCAGGAAAAAAAACATCAAAATATTCCTTAAATAGCACCGTACACCAACGCTGTGTGCAAAAATCCCAGTGGGTTGCACGTCAAATAACAACAGCCACAACAACCACAAGACAACTAAGATTAAGGCCATCAGTCTAACTCCGTACTACAATAAACAAAAACATGGCCAAAAACAAAAAAAACGTTTTCGAAATCAACCAAAATAAAAGCCATAAATGCAACGTAACAGTGATCATAGGGACTGTGACCGAATTTTTAACAATAAACTACATAAATAAATTATAACACTAAACCCTAGAGCCATATTTTAGGCCACTGAATAGCAGTGGCAGCTAGGGGTGTACAACTCCTCTAGAGCAGTTTTGAGTGAAGATCTCATAGGTAGTGATTCAAGTTGCAGTTTATTGGCAATAGCATTCCAGACCCTGGGGACATCAATAGCAAAGGCCCTTCCTCCGGTTTTTGTACGGCAATAGGGAATGTGAAGTTGGTAAATGAGCGAAGACCTGAGATCAAATTTGTTCTTTGAAATAGAGAGGAGATCCAGTAGGTAGTCTGCGGATTTTGTTTGTAAGTACATCGTGAATAAATAAGATCTGGTGCACAAGCCGTCGAACATTAAGAGATGTTAAGTTTGACCCAATGTAGAGATCACAGCGGTGAGTCCTATATGGACAGTTCAATGCAAATCTTAAGGCCGAGCGATAGATGGAATCAAACTTCTTTCAGTACAGTACTTGGGGCTGATTTATACACGATGTCACAGCAGTCAAGTAGAGGCGGTATGGTAGCTTTAATCAATTCCAAACGGAACATTTCGGGGATAGCAGTGCTTGTGTCGATGCAGAAAACCAATTTTTTACTTTTGTCTTTTTACCAATATAATCAATGTGATCTTCAAAATTCAGCTTCGAATCCAGGATGACCCCAAGATACTCATAGATCTTGACAATTATTCAAGGAACGTAATTGGGGGAAAAATAACTTCCTGCTTTAGTCCCGGTGAGAAGCCATAGCCACCTTGGTTTTCGGAGGTGTTCAGGACGAGTTCAAGAGCAACCAGCTGATGTTGTACTTGGTTGAAATCACCCTGGGGCCTAGCGATTAACGGCATCCGGAGAGCGGGCCAGCAGTAATCGCCCGCCCGCCCGCCCGCCCACCCGCTTCGTCCGCAGGGCGCGTCCCTCAAGGCCCAGACGGACCGCACGGGCGAGACGGCGCTGCACCTGGCCGCCCGCTACACCCGCGCCGACGCGGCCAAGCGCCTGCTGGAGGCGGGCGCCGACGCCAACGCCGCCGACTACACCGGGCGCACGCCCCTACACGCAGCCGTGTCGGCCGACGCGCAGGGCGTGCTGCACGTGAGTGCCGGACACGCCCCCCCCCCCGCCCCCTCCATACCCGCCACGTCACGTGACCCGAGTGCCGCACCCCCACTCGTCTGTCACGTGACCCGAGTGCCGGACACGCCCCCCCTCCGTCACGTGACCCAAGTGCCGCACCCCCCCCCCCATCTGTCACGTGACCCGAGTGCCGCACCCCCCGCATCTGTCACGTGACCCGAGTGCCGCACCCCCCATTTGTCACGTGACCCGAGTGCGACACTCCCTCATCTGTCACGTGACCCGAGTGCCACACCCCCCCATCTGTCACGTGACCCGAGTGCCGCACCCCCCATCATCTGTCACGTGACCCGAGTGCCGCACCCACCATTTGTCATGTGACCCGAGTGCGACACTCCCTCATCTGTCACGTGACCCGAGTGCCACACCCCCTCATCTGTCACGTGACCCGAGTGCCACACCCCTCCGTTACGTGACCCGAGTGCCGCACCCCCCCCATCTGTCACGTGACCCGAGTGCCACACCCCCTCATCTGTCACGTGACCCGAGTGCCACACCCCTCCGTCACGTGACCCAAGTGCCGCACCCCCCATCTGTCACGTGACCCGAGTGCCACACCCCTCCGTTACGTGACCCGAGTGCCGCACCCCCCCCCATCTGTCACGTGACCCGAGTGCCACACCCCCTCATCTGTCACGTGACCTGAGTGCTGCCCCCCCCCTCCGTGACCCCTATCATAGGGGTTGTTAGTGCCGCCCCCTCTGACCCGGTTCGTAGACCACTCGTAGAGACTCTCCAAAGACACCCACAGAGACTACCCACAGAGACCCACAGAGGCTCTCCACAGAGACTCCCCACAGACACCCACAGACACCCACAGAGACCCACAGAGACCCACATAGACCCACAGACACCCACATAGACCCACAGGCACCCACATAGACCCACAGACACCCACAGAGACCCACAGAGACTCCCCAAAGACACCCACAGAGACCCACAGACACCCACAGAGACCCACAGAGACCCACAGAGACCCACAGAGACTCCCCAAAGACACCCACAGAGACCCACAGACACCCACAGAGACCCACAGAGGCTCTCCACAGAGACCCACAGACACCCACAGACACCCACAGAGACCCACAGAGACCCACAGAGACTCCCCAAAGACACCCACAGAGACCCACAGACACCCACAGAGACCCACAGAGGCTCTCCACAGAGACCCACAGACACCCACAGACACCCACAGAGACCCACAGAGACCCACAGAGACCCACAGACACCCACAGAGACTCCCCAAAGACACCCACAGAGACCCACCACAGACACCCACAGAGACTCCCCACAGAGACCCACAGACACCAACAGACACCCACAGACACCCACAGACACCCACAGAGACCCACAGACACCCACAGACACCCACAGACACCCACAGACACCAACAGACACCCACAGACACCCACAGACACCCACAGACACCCACAGACACCCACAGACACCCACAGAGACCCACAGACACCCACAGAGACTCCCCACAGAGACCCACAGACACCCACAGACACCCACAGTCACCCACAGACACCCACATAGACCCACAGACACCCACAGACACCCACAGACACCCACAGACACCCACAGACACCCACAGACACCCACATAGACCCACAGACACCCACAGAGACCCACAGACACCAACAGACACCCACAGAGACCCACAGACACCCACAGACACCCACAGAGACCCACAGACACCCACAGAGACCCACAGACACCCACAGACACCCACAGAGACCCACAGACACCCACAGAGACCCACAGACACCCACAGACACCCACAGACACCCACACAGACACCCACAGAGACCCACACAGACACCCACAGAGACCCACAGACACCCACAGACACCCACAGACACCCACAGACACCCACAGAGACCCACAGACACCCACAGAGACCCACAGAGACCCACAGACACCCACAGAGACCCACAGAGACCCACAGACACCCACAGACACCCACAGAGACCCACAGACACCCACAGACACCCACAGAGACCCACAGACACCCACAGACACCCACAGACACCCACAGACACCCACAGACACCCACAGACACCCACAGACACCCACATAGACCCACAGACACCCACAGACACCCACAGACACCCACAGAGACTCCCCACAGAGACCCACAGACACCCACAGAGACACACAGAGACCCATAGACACCCACAGAGACACACAGACACCCACAGACACCCACAGAGACCCACAGTCACCCACAGACACCCACAGACACCCACAGACACCCACAGACACCCACAGACACCCACAGAGACCCACATAGACCCACAGACACCCACAGAGACACACAGACACCCACAGACACCCACAGAGACCCACAGTCACCCACAGACACCCACAGACACCCACAGACACCCACAGACACCCACAGACACCCACAGACACACACAGACACCCACAGACACCCACATAGACCCACATACACCCACAGAGACCCACAGACACCCACAGACACCCGCAGACACCCACAGACACCCACAGACACCCACAGACACCCACAGACACTCACAGACACCCACAGACACCCACATACACCCACAGACACCCACATACACCCACAGACACCCACAGACACCCACAGACACCCACAGAGACCCACAGAGACCCACATAGACCCAAGTCCAACGGGCACGTCACGACAACGACCGTTGACCGCCACCGCCTCCCCTCTATCATCACCACAGCCGCCCCGCCCCCCGGTAACCTTTAACCCCGGCCCCCACCTCCAGTGCCGCCCCTCTCCGTGACCTCTGACACCGGGCGCCCCCCGCCCCCCTCTTCCTCGGCAACCGCGTGGCCGCAGATCCTCATCCGTAACCGCGCGACGGACGTGGACGCGCGAATGAACGACGGCACGACCCCGCTGATCCTGGCGGCACGCCTCGCCGTCGAGGGCCTCGCCGAGGAGCTCGTCGCCTGCCGGGCCGACGTCAACGCCGTGGACGACCACGGTGAGAGGCCTCACCGTCACCGCCGCCGCCGCGGTGACCCTCCGGTGACCCTACGGTGACCCTACGGTGACCCTACTGCTAGCGCCGCGGCGACACCGGTGGCCCCCACGGTGGGGTCACCACGGCGACGCGGGGGGTGGTCCCGGTGACGACCTTTGGGACCGGGAGATCTGACGACCCCGTGACCCGGGGAAGTGATGACCGGTGACACAGAGACCCGGTGATCACGTGTCCCGATGACCCAGTCACCCGGTGATCTCGAGACCCGGTGACCCAGTCACCCGGTGACACAGAGACCCGGTGACCCAGTCACCCAGTGACCCAGAGACCTGGTGATCACGTGTCCCGGTGACCCAGTCACCCGGTGATCTCGAGACCCGGTGACCCAGTCACCCGGTGATCTCGAGACCCGGTGACCCAGTCACCCGGTGACCCAGTCACCCGGTGACCCAGAGACCCGGTGACCCAGTCACCCGGTGATCACGTGTCCCGGTGACCCAGTCACCCGGTGATCTGGTGACCCCATTACCCAGTTGCCCGGTGAGCAGATGACCCGGGGCATAAGGTGACCTATTGACCCGGCGACCTGGCAAGCCGTCGACGCCGTGGTGACGCCGCGGTGAGCCGGTAACCGGTGGGGGGGGGGGGGGGGTGGGGGGGGGTGGGGGGGGTGGGTGGGGTGGGGGGTGGGGGGGGGTGGGGGGTGGGGGGGGTGGGGGGGGTGGGGGGGGGTGGGGGGGGGGGGTGGGGGGGTGGGGGTGTTTCTCGGCATCCGTGATCCGGCGCTAAGGAACTGGCGGCTGACCGACCTGCTGTGACCTCTGACCCCATGACCCCCCCCCCCCAGGCAAGTCGGCGCTGCACTGGGCCGCGGCCGTCAACAACGTGGAGGCGACGCTGGTGCTGCTCAAGAGCGGCGCCAACCGAGACATGCAGGACAACAAGGTGAGAGGTCGCGACCTCCTCCTCCCTGCCCACCCGGTGAGAGGTCGCGACCTCCTCCTCCTCCCTGCCCACCCGGTGAGAGGTCGCGACCTCCTCCTCCTCCCTGCACGGTGAGGGGTCGCGACCTCGTGCCTGCCCGGTTGGGGGGTCGTGACCTTCTCCCTGCATGGTGAGGGGGTCGTGACCTTCTGCCCGCCGGGTTAGGGGTCGTGACCTCCACCCCGCCCGCCGGGTTAGGGGTCGTGACCTCCACCCCGCCCGCCAGGTTAGGGGTCGCGACCTCCACCCCGCCCGCCGGGTTAGGGGTCGCGACCTCCACCCCGCCCGCCAGGTTAGGGGTCGCGACCTCCACCCCGCCCGCCGGGTTAGGGGTCGCGACCTCCACCCCGCCCGCCAGGTTAGGGGTCGCGACCTCCACCCCGCCCGCCAGGTTAGGGGTCGCGACCTCCACCCCGCCCGCCCGTCGTGAGGGGGGGGGGGGGGGCGGGGTGACGACCTCCTCCGGACGCTTCACCGCACGACGCCTCCCGACCTTCGACCTGCGACCTTGTCATTCATTTACAAAGCGGCCCCCCTGCCCCCCCCTGCCCCCCAGCCCCCCCCTGCAGGAGGAGACCCCCCTGTTCCTGGCGGCGCGCGAGGGCAGCCGCGAGGCGGCTCGTCTGCTGCTGCAGCACGGCGCCAGCCGCGAGATCACCGACCACGTGGACCGCCTGCCGCGCGACGTCGCCGCCGAGCGGCACCACCACGACATCGTGCGGCTCCTCGACGAGTTCGCCCTCATGGGGGCCGCGGCCGCGGCGGCGGCGGCGGCGGCGCAGCAGCAGCACTACGGGGGAGGCGGTGGACAGGGCGGTACGCACGGCTAAGCGGGGAGGCGCCCGTCACGTGACCCGAGTGCCGCCCCCCTCCCCTCTCTCTCTCCCTCCGTCACGTGACCCGAGTGCCCCCCCCCCCTCCGTCACGTGACCTGAGTGACGCCCCCCCCCCCTCTCTCTCTCTCTCCGTCACGTGACCCGAGTGCCGCCCCCCCCCCTCTCTCTCCCCCCCCCCTCCGTCACGTGACCCTAGTGCCGCCCCCCTCTGACACTCATAGAGACTCCGTAGAGACCCATAGACGCTCAAAGATCCAACCACAGTACGGCCCCCCCCCCCCTCCCTGCCACCGCATCGCCCCCCTCCCACAGCACCTCGTGGCCACCACCACGGCCGCCACCACCACCGCCACCACCATCACCACCACCGCCACCATCACCACCACCACCACCACCATCACCACCACCACCACCATCACCACCATCACCACCACCACCACCACCACCGCCACCACCACCACCACCGCCACCACCATCGCCACCACCACCACCGCCACCACCACCACCACCACTACCACCATCACCACCATCACCACCACCATCACCACCACCACCACCATCGCCACCACCACCACCGCCACCACCACCACTACCACCACCACCACTATCACCACCACCATCACCACCACCACCACCACCACTACCACCACTACCGCCACCACCACCGCCACCACCGCCACGGTGCACCTGAATGCGTGCGTGACGCCGGATTCCGTTTTGTCGCCCCGCGCCCCGGCAGGAGGCGTCCTGGGCCCTCCGCTCTGCCCCGCCGCCGGCTACATTCACGGCGTCAAGGCGGCGCAGCAGCATCATCACCACCACCACCATCAGCAGCAGCATCATCAGCAGCATCATCAGCAGCCCGGCAAGAAGACGCGGCGTCCCAGCACTGCCCGCGCCTACTCCGCCGCCGCCGGCACCACCGGCGCCGCCGGCAGGGACGGCAAGCCGGTGAAGAAGCGCAAGAAATCCACGGGCGGCGTCGGGGACACCCCGGCGCTGAAGGGCCCGGCGGGACCCGACCACGCTCTGCTGCCCCTGCTGCTGCCCCAGGGCCACCCGATGCACCACCACCACCAGCAGCAGCAGCAGCAGCAGCACAACCAGCAGCAGCAGCACCACCACCACCCGCAGCAGCAGCAGCAGCAGCACCATCAGCAGCGCATGCTGCCGCCCAGCTACGCTCCGCCCTACGAGGTGGCGCTGGGCGACTGGCGCATGCTGCAGCCGGCCCGGCACGGCCACGGCCACCACCAGCATCAGCCGATGCATCACCACCAGCAGCATCAGCAGCAGCATCAGCAGCAGCAGCAGCATCAGCAGCAGCATCATCAGCAGCAGCAGCACTACAATCCGCTCGTCGTCGGACTCCCGGTGCCGCCGAACGTCCTTCCGAGTGTCGCCACGGAATCTCCTCCGCCAGCGCCGCTGCCTCCGCTGCCTCCGCTGCCCCTGCTGCCTCTTGAAGACCACCAGCAGCAGCACCAGCAGCAGCAGCAGCAGCAGCAGCAGCAGCAGCACTACAACCCGCTCGTCGTCGGACTCCCGGTGCCGCCGAACGTCCTTCCGAGCGTCGCCACGGAATCTCCTCCGCCAGCGCCGCTGCCTCCACTGCCTCCGCTGCCCCCGCTGCCTCTTGAAGGCCACCAGCAGCACCAGCAGCAGCAGCAGCAGCAGCGGCGGCGGCGGCGGCAGGCGACGCCCTGCCAGGATTCTCCGGCGAGGGTCGCCTTCGCACCGGCGCCACCGGCGCCCGCCGACAAGTTCCCGTCGCCCCCGTCGCAGCACGGCTACCCGTCGCCTTGCGGCGCGAGCGTGAGCCCGCGGCAGCAGCAGCGGCAGCAGCAGCAGCAGCAGCAGCAGGCGCAGCAGACGCAGCAGCAGCAGCAGCAGCAGCAGCTGGACGTGCCGTATCCCACGCCGTCCCCGGATACTCCCGACTGGTCCAGCTCTTCGCAGGACTCTCCACTCAGTTGGGCTGAGATTGGCGGCGGTGGTGGCGGTGGTGGCGGTGGTGGCGGTGGTGGTGGTGGTGGTGGTGCGGCTGGCGGTGGTGGTGGTGGTGGTGCCATCTCCACCAGCACCACCACCACCCCCTCTTCGGCGACCCCCGTGTCTCCGCCATTGCCCGGCGCGTTTCAACCGTCGCTCGCGACCGGCATGGCGAGGCAGGTCACCACCATGACCTAGACACCAGGCCGTCGTGATGAAGATCATCGTCATCATCATGATCATCATCAAGATTATTACGCTTGTTCTGATGGTCGTGATTACGATCATTGTCATCATCATCATGATTATTACGATCGTCCTCATGGTCGTGATTACGATCATCATCATCATGATTATTACGATCGTTCTGATGCTCGTGATTACGATCATCGCCATCATCACCATGATTATTACGATCTTTCTGATGGTCGTGATTACGATCATCATCATCATCATCATGATTATTACGACTGTTCTGATGGTCGTGATTATGATCATCGTCATCATCATGATTATTACGATCGTTCTGATGGTCGTGATTACGATCATCGTCATCATCATGATTATTACGATCGTTCTGATGCTCATGATTACGATCATCGTCATCATGATTATTACGACTGTTCTGATGGTCGTGATTACGATCATCGTCATCATCATGATTATTACGACTGTTCTGATGGTCGTGATTATGATCATTGTCATCATCATCAAGATTATTATGATCGTTCTTATGGTCGTGATTACGATCATCGTCATCATCATGATTATTACGACTGTTCTGATGGTCGTGATTACGATCATCGTCATCATCATGATTATTACAACTGTTCTGATGGTCGTGATTAAGATCATCGTCATCATCATGATTATTACGATCGTTCTGATGGTCGTGATTATGATAATCGTCATCATCATCATCAAGATTATTACGACTGTTCTGATGCTCGTGATTACGATCGTCGTCAGCATCACGATTGTTACGACTGTTCTGATGCTCGTGATTACGATCATAGTCATCATCATCACGATTATTACGATTGTTCTGATGGTCGTGATTACGATCATCGTCATCATCATGATTATTACGATCGTTCTGATGGTCGTGATTACGATCATCGTCATCATCATCATCACGACTGTTCTGATGGTCGTGATTACGATCATCGTCATCATAATCAAGATTATTACGATCGTTCTGATGGTCGTGATAATGATGGTCGTGATTATTCTGATCGTTATGACTATCATGATTATCCGAATCGTGGTTCTGAGAATCATGGTTATAATCATTGTGATTATGATTAGTATAATCATTGTGATTATGATTAGTATAATAATTGTGATTATGTTTAGTATAATCATTGTGATTATGATTAGTATAATCATTGTGATTATCATGAATCGGATGATGATGATGATGATGATAATTAGAATTTCCCCGTGGTAGCGTGGATCTTTTTCCCCCCACACACTTAGCAAGCAACGTCCACGCGTTCGGCGGTGTTCCACTGCCGCTCTGAACTTGCACGCGGCGACGATGACGACGACAATGATGACGACGATGATGACGACGCTGATGACGATCATGATGATGACGATGATGATGACGACGATGATGATGATGATAATGACGACGATGACGATGATGACGTCGATGACGACGATGATGACGACGATGATGACGACGATGATGATGACGATGATGACGACGATGATGATGATGACGATGATGACGATGACGACGACGATGATGACGATGATGACGATGACGACAATGATGACGACACACACACAGTGATGTACGTGCGGGATTATTTGTAACTGCTATCAACATGTTATGCAGCTCTTGGTAACTCGAACGACGGATCCGTTTATAATTTGCTCGCGTTGTTATTGTTTCGTGTCAGGTGATGTTATAGTTGTTGTTGTGTTGCTGCTGTGTGGTCTGGCCTAGGGGCACCCCCAGTGGCAGCTGTCCCTGTGCATCAGTCTGTCAGTAGTAGGGGTAGCGATGCTGCTGCTGTGTGGTCTGGCCTAGGGGCACCCCCAGTGGCAGCTGTCCCCATCCTCGTGAACTTCCGTGACAGAGAGAGACACACAGAGAGAGATTAGAGAGAGACAGAGAGAGAGAGAGACGGAGAGGCAGAGAGACACCGAGAGAGATTAGAGAGAGACAGAGAGAGAGAGAGAGACGGAGAGGCAGAGAGACACAGAGAGAGAGGCAGTGAGAGAAAGTTGTGTGGGTGTGAGTGTGGTGTGGGTGTGAGTGTGAGGTGGGTGTGGGTGTGGTGAGTGTGGTGTGGGTGTGAGTGTGGTGTGAGTGTGGTGTGGGTGTGAGTGTGATTGTGGTGAGTGTTGTGTGGGTGTGGTGTGAGTGTGGTGAGTGTTGTGTGAGTGTGGTATGAGTGTGGTATGAGTGTGGATGTGAGTGTGGTGTGTGTTGTGTGGTGTGAGTGTGGTGAGTGTTGTGTGAGTGTTGTGAGTGTGAGTGTGTAGTGTGGGTGTGGTGTGGGTGTGTGGTGTGAGTGTGGTGTGAGTGCGTTGTGTGGGTGTGAGTGTTATGTGAGTGTGGTGTGAGTGTGGTGAGTGTGGTATGAGTCTGGATGTGAGTGTGGTGTGGGTCTGAGTGTGATGTGAGTGTTGTGTGAGTGTGTGGTGTGAGTGTGTTGTGTGGTGTGAGTGTGTTGTGTGGGTGTGTGGTGTGTTGTGTGAGTGTGGGTGTGGTGTGGGTGTGTGGTGTGAGTGTGTTGTGGGTGTGTGTGGTGTGAGTGTGGTGTGGGTGTGGGTGTGGTGTGAGTGTGTGGTGTGAGTGTGTTGTGTGGGTGTGTGGTGTGTTGTGTGAGTGTGGTGTGGGTGTGGTGTGGGTGTGTGGTGGGAGTGTGTTGTGTGAGTGTGTGAGTGTTGTGTGAGTGTAGTGTGGGTGTGAGTGTGGTGTGAGTGTGTTGTGTGGGTGTGTGGTGTGAGTGTGGTGAGTGTTGTGTAAGTGTGTGAAGTGGGTATGTGGTGTGAGTGTGTGGTGTGGGTGTGTTGTGAGGGTGTGTTGTGTGAGTGTGTTGTGTGGGTGTGTGATGTGAGTGTGGTGTGTGAGTGTGGTGTGAGTGTTGTGTGAGTGTGTTGTGTGGGTGTGTGGTGTGAGTGTGGTGTGAGTGTGATGTGAGTGTTGTGTGAGTGTGTGGTGTGTGTGTGTTGTGAGGGTGTGTGATGTGAGTGTGTTGTGTGGGTGTGTGGTGTGAGTGTGGTGTAAGTGTGGCATGAGTGTGGTGTGAGTGTGATGTGAGTGTGGTGTGGGTGTGTGGTGTGAGTGTGGTGTGGGTGTGTGGTGTGAGTGTGTGGTGTGTGTGGCATGAGTGTGGTGTGAGTGTGTTGTGTGTGAGTGTGTTGTGTGAGAGTGTGGTGTGTGTGAGTGTGGTGTGTGAGAGTGTGGTGTGTGAGAGTGTGTTGTGTGAGAGTGTGGTGTGTGAGAGTGTGGTGTGGCGTGAGTGTGGATGTGAGTGTGGGTGTTTTGCGGGTGTGCTGTGTGGGATGTCACCACGCTTGGCTTAGCGTGGAAAGATCACATCAAAGGATCCATAGATGTTGTGGGCAGAGTACAGCACAACGGATGTGTGTCCAAACTGTAGGCCAACAATCGATATATTTGAGTGACAGACATATAATTGAAAGTCTGTTCGATAGTGGCTTTGCGAAACGTTGATTTTGTTAAAAAAAAGAAAAATAGATTTTATAAATATATCAAACTGCCTTTTTGAATGATGATTTTAACAGCTTACAAAGAAACGTGGCTACAAAAATATATAAATATACGAACTGCACTGTAGATAATTACGCTTGCGACAATTATGATCGGGGATGTTAACGCACTTAGAATCTGCCGGACGTCAATTTGCCAACGAACACTATGAGTGTACATACATTTATTTAAATGTTTACGTTGCGCGCGTATACACATACATTAAACGCATTTAATAATCGCTTTTATTTTTACTCTTATTACGCACTACATATGTCCGGTTTTTTTTTAATATGTTACATATTTTATATGCCTAGGGGTTAACGGGGCCACACAACTGTGAGCTTATGCGATGTCGCGCCGCGCATTTTATGGGATAATTCGGAGTTTCGGAATGATGATGATGATGATGCGGAATTTCTGAAACATCGCATGCGGTTTTGGAATAATACTATGGGATTTTTTTTTATAATGCTATGGGATTTCGGAATAATGCTATGGGATTTCGGAACTTTACCATGGGATTTTTGAATAATACTATGGGATTTTTTAATAATGCTATGGGATTTCGGAATAATGCTATGGGATTTCGGAACTATACCATGGGATTTTTAATAATACTATGGGATGTTTTAATAATACTATGGGATTTCGGAATAATGCTATGGGACTTCGGAATTATACCATGGGATTTTTGAATAATACTATGGGATTTTTGAATAATGTTATGGGATTTCGGAATAATACTATTGGATTTCTCAATAATGCTATGGGATTTCGGAATAATGCTATGAGATTTCAGAATAATGCTATGGGATTTCGGAATAATGCTATGGGATTTTGTAATAATGCTATGAGATTTCGGAATAATACTATGGGAGTTTAAAATACTGCTATGGGATTTCGGAATAATACTATGGGAGTTTGGAATAATACTATGGGATTTCATAATTATACTATGGGATTTCGGAATAATACTATGGGATTTCGGAATAATGATTATGGAGTTTTGGGACATTACTATAGGATTTCAGAATAATGATCACGGAGTTTTGAGATAATACAATGGGATTTCCGAATTATTATAGTATGAGATTTCGGAATGATACTATGGGATTTCAGAAGAACGATACGGGAGTCCTTTGGGACGGGCAACTGGACCTGCGGACAGGTGGGTTCACGTCTCTGTAAGTTCGTAAGTCGAGCTGTTCGTAAGTAGAGGAGTCCCTGGAATATCCGTTCTAAAATATCATCCGAAATTCCGAATTATTTCCTTTTTGGTTATTTCGGTAACGTCACGTAGATATGTATATCTAGATAGATAGATATATCTATCTAGATATACATACCTAGATATATCTAGATAGATAGATATCTAGATATATCTAGATAGATAGATATCTAGATATATCTATAGATAGAAATATCTAGATATCTATATATCCAGATATATATCTAGAACAAGAGAGTATGGATTCCTGAAGTCACGA